CTATGTTCAAATGGATTAATAGTGAATGAAATAAAAACTGTATATATGCAGTTTAGCTTAAAGAATAAAAACAACCCAAAAGTGAATCTTAAAATAAACAATGTACCCATTCAAAAAGTGACTTTCTATAAATACCTTGGATTAACAATTGATCAAAACTTGACTTTCAATGAACATATTGGTGAAATATATAACAAACTTAGTGGCTTAGTTGGTGCGCTTAGACGTGTAAATGAATATTTGACGGAGAGTTGCAGATTCCTTATATATAACTCATATATTAAATCAGTCTTAAGTTATCTCATAGCAATATGGTCAAATACATCCCAACGAAATCTAAACCGAATGCAAAGACTGCAAAATAAAGCGCTAAAAGCAATTTTTAATCTACCGTATGATACACCAACTAAAGACCTTTATAAAATAATTCCGGTAATGAATATTAAACAGTTAATTAGTTTCGAATTGTGCAAATTAGTATATAAGATAAAAAACAAAGACATTAAAACAAGTGCAAGCTTGAACATAAACTCGGATTTTCACAACTATGAAACTAGAGGAGCACAAAACCTCAGAACAGTCAGAGTTAGGACCAAAAAGGCTTCTGGATCAACAATACAACAGGGTGTTAAAATCTTCAATGATCTACCAAACTCCATTAAATCCTTGGATAAATATGAAAAATTTATAAAAACATTGAAAAAGTACATCAAGGACAATTTATAATTATTATACTGTTATTCAATTTATAAATATATTTTTTCTTTATTGTAATGATTACTCTACGTTAACAGCTATTACAAGTTGATTTGTAGTTTCAATTTAATAAATAAATAAATAAAATAAAAACACAGGGTTCCAGAAAAATTAACGCTTACTGTCCCGCCAGAATAAAAAAAATTGAGTATTACTCTAAAAATATTTTGGAAAAAGTGGAAGCCTTTTATACTAAAACACATATTGGACATCAGCTAGAAATTGGTCACCTACCCCTCACAGAACAAGAACGACATGATATATCATTAAAAATTGCATCAAAACCCTATTGTAAATGACCAGTAGAAACCAATAAAAAATAAGTAATTGGTTTGAATTGGTTTGAATTGGTTTGAAATGTGTTTTGGCGCTATGAATCACCAGTTCATTCCAGTTGAATTCCTATTGGTAATTTCCAATGAAGTCAGCAACTTGAATTGGAAAATACCAATAGAATCCAATGAAAAATAAGTAATTGGTTTGAATTGGTTTGAATTGGTTTGAAATGTGTTTTGGCGCTATGAATCACCAGTTCATTCCAGTTGAATTCCTATTGGTAATTTCCAATGAAGTCAGCGGCTTGAATTGGAAAATACCAATCCATGCCTATGCTTGTCTCTATTGGCTAAATCCAATAGAAATGCACATGGAATGAATTGGTAATTCATAGCGCCAAACCCATTCCAACCAATTAATTTTTTTTAATTTTGGATTAGAAAATACCTACCAGTTTATTTTTCAATCAAAAATAATTTTAGATGCCAGAAGGATAACCGGGTAAAAACCAGAATTCATTTTTCACAGAAGAGACAAAAAATTTTTTGTTACTGAGTAATTTTATTTCTTTATTATTTTTTTTGTGATATATGTATGTATTAATACTATATAACTTACTATCACAAAAAAAGTAATAAAAAATAAATCAAAATCAAACATAACTGAGTTTTTATTTTCTTGCAAAGGATGTTGGTTTTTACCTAGTTATCATTCCGGGATCTTCAATTAAACTTTCCCGCGTTTTCCCAATGTCCTAAAAACAGTATGGCGCCATTCACTAGAACGTCAATTTTAGCGCGTTTTTAACGGGTTTTGGGTAGGCTCTTTTTAGTGTTTTAAAGTGATTTAAAACCATTTCTTATAGTATGGATAGTTCGAGAACGCCTAGAAAAAGGTATAAGCGGTATTTGTTACCAGAAGCATACAAGAGCTTATGCCGTAAGAAGCAAAAACGCATTGAAAAAAAAAAACATTTTAATCCACCTGAAGGTAAGTACTCATAAAAATTTGTGTTTTGTGGGTATTACGTTAATATGAAAAATTATATTGAATACATGTTTAAAAAATAATATTTATTAAAGTAAGCACTCACATTTTTTACAAATTTATTGATTTTGACTAATATAATTGGTTTGGCAGATAATTCCTGTACTGTGGAAGAGATTTCCATGACTTCTTGGGCCAGTGATCAGCCTTCTATAGCAGTAAGTGAACAAAAAAATAGTTCCAGTAATGACTCTAGTTCAGATGAGTCTAAATCTGAAACAAATTTAAGCAGCAGCACCTCCGATGAACTGGATGACAATTTATTTAATAACAATAATGGTGCTAGTGACAATGAAAGTGCAATAAGTGATAATTCAAATCCTTTTAATGATTATCCTCTAAATGAAATAGATGACAGTGACAATGACCATACAATAGGAGAGGATAATGATGATCCTCTAAATGAAATAATGTTCGACAGTGCAAATTTAAGTAAAAAGGATGTACTTACCATGGTTTATGGTTTATCTTTGCGGCACAAGTTAACAAATGAAGCTCGGAGTGATATTCTGGAATTAATTCGAATGTGCGCCAACTTGGATACCCATTCATTTAGTACTACAAGTTACAGTTTTTCCAAAATATTTAATCCTCCAGATAACGAAATCAAATACCAATTTTATTGCAACCAATGCTATCATGGATTAACAGATTCAATGACTAAAAGTGAATTTCAAGCCAGTGAAGTGCAATGCCCTAACTCAAAATGCAAGGAGAAGCAAAATATTTCAATGACAAAAGACAATCTATTTATAACAATTGACGTTTCCTACCAACTTAAGTCCATTTTGTCAGATGAAAAGATCTTTAACAATCTTTTTCCCCAAGGAAACTTCCCATCTGAAACAATTAATGATGTTTATGATGGAGAAATATATCAAAACCTAAAGAACTCTTACCATTTTGACCTTAGTTATAATTTTAATACTGATGGGGCACCAATTTTTTCTTCTTCGAGATCATCTATGTGGCCCATACAACTGTGCATTAATGAACTACCGCCTCATGAGAGATTCCGTAGGTTGATCATTGCTGGAATATGGATTGGAAAAAAAGAGCCATCAAGCACTTTCTTAAACACATTTCTCAAAGCATTTGTTGATCAGGCAAAAACCTTGTTAAACGTTGGTGTTGATATTATTGCCCCAAATGGAGATTTAAGAAATTTTAAGTTAATTCCGTTATTCTTCTGCATAGATTCCGTAGCCAGACCTATAGTTCAGAACAGAGTCCAGTACAATGGATATTATGGATGCAGTTGGTGCTATATACCAGGGGAGCCAATTAACAGGCAGGTGAAATATCCTAAAACGGAAAATGTAGAGGAAAGGAGTCATGAAAGTCATTTAATTGACTTGCAGGAAACAGTAGACAACAACTATGTTACTAAAATTCGGGGAGTAAAAGGTCCCTCAATTCTACTAACTATGCCTTCTTTTGACATCGTGTGGTCGCTGCCACCTGATTATATGCATGGTGTAATTTTAGGTGTCGTTCGTCAACTTTGGGATCTATGGACTTCATTTACTCCTGAAAATAAGTTTACTTATTACATTGGAAAACCAGAGACTTTAAAAATACTTAACAAAAGATTATTGAGTATTCGTCCACCTCATGAAATAAATCGCTTACCAAGACCACTTAATGAAAAAGCAAAGTATAAAGCAACTGAATGGAAGTGGTGGCTTTTATTTTACTCAGTTCCCTGTCTTCAAAACATCTTAAAATCCAGGTACCTTTCTCACTTTTGCCAACTGGTTGATGGCATTTATACTTTATTGAAATCAAAAATTAGCCCCTTTGATTTAGAAAGGGTTGAAAAAAATCTAAGTGAATTTGTTTACACCATGGAGGAATTATATGGCAAAAGTTCTATGACTTTTAACGTCCATTCCCTGTTGCATTTATGTCAATCAGTAAAGAAAACTGGTCCACTTTGGGCAACCAGTGCTTTCCCTTATGAATCTGGTATTTATCGACTGAAGCAACAAGTTAAAGGTCCAGTTGGAGTTGCAAAACAAATTGCTAAAAAGGCCTGCAATATAAACAGCTTTTTAAATTATTGCAACATAAAATCTCGTCTTACCTTAAATGAAAAAGCTGCAAGTTACTGTAATTCCTTATTTAGAATTAAGAAAAAAGGTGGTGAAAATGGTATAAATTTTTGTGGACGTTGTTTTTTTATGTCTGAAGCTGAATTTCTAGCAATGTATTCCATTCCTTCACCCTTGCCAGATACAAACCATCTTTGTTACAATAGGTGTAATCTTAATGAAACAATATTACATAGTCTTAAATACACCAAAGCTAGGAAAATGAATGACACTATTGTTAAATTAAATAATGGAGTATTTGTTGAAATACACAGGTTCCTAAAAAATGGAGCTGAGGGATTCTTGATAGGCAAGAAATTATTAGTAAGGCCTGTAAAAATTGGTTTTAAACATATTTTCTCTGTTACGCAATATTCTCATGAATTTTTGGTTGCATCAATATTGGAAATCAAGGAAAAGTGCTTATTAATTGAGGTCCCTGACCAAAATGTTAAATATCTTTGTACATTTCCTAATATGTTTGAGGTTCAATAATTTTATTCTAAAAAAAATAAATTTAAAAAATTTGCAGCCAATTTATGTTTAATAACCTTTACCTACCAGTAACTACCATTAATTAAAATAATGTTAAACCGTTTCCAAAATATTCCTTAGTAACAATTTAAAAAACTCACCTGGTATAAGATTTTTAATAAATTTAAAAAATCTTGGAATAATTTAAATTATCTTGGGTTCTAATAAATTAAGATTAATTAATTAATATTAATCATATTTTTAATAAAACAATTAACTCTATTATCACATGTAAAAAAAGGTAAAATAAAAATAACACATGTAAAAAATAACTAAAATAAAAATTCTTTAACAATCTTAACAAAAAATAATTTTCTGAGCGAAAAAATAAAATAAAAACATAACTTCTTTACATTGACTTAATATAAATATTTAATTATTTAAGTTAACTGTCATCTATACTTTCTTCATTTAACCTTCCTAGAATAAAAGGTCTAAAATTAAACAATCATCTTCCTTTGAGAAAAAATATTAAACAAAAATATCTAATATTTTTATTACCTACCTTTAATTTTAGGTTTGATGAGATCTTGCATCTTTTCTCCAACTCTATGGTTAATGCTATCCACAACCGCATTAATCTTTTCTAAAGAATCCCCATTTTTTTCTAATGTATAACGAATAATATCTGCAATTTTGTTCATTATTTCTAGGTATAGTAAACTATTTATTAATAAAATATAATTGCTATATTTACCATGGACTGCCATTAACTTTGTTCCATCTAATGCTGGTTTTGCCTCTGTCTTTGTCCTATTACATTTTCGTCCACTTACACTGCTTTCCATTAAGACTCTTTCACCAAATACAGCATATGCAATTTCTTTTATTAATAAAGAGTAGTTATTCTTTTTGGGTTTATTAGCAGCCGAATCATAAATTTGACATGGAAGCCAAACATTTCTCCCTAAATGAATCTAAAAATATATATTAAATAATAAGTTAATCAATGTTAAGCATTAAATCATGCACATTTCCATCTAATCTGGTTCCAGTGGGTAATTCCAATTCCAGTGGGGGTTGTACTCCTCCGTTAGTTGCAGTCAATTCCAAATCTGCATTTTAATAAAAGAAATATTAAAATTATTATAATTTATAAGAAAAGTTTATGCATTTACTTTTAAATTTCTCAATCACTACACTTTGCAGTTCCTTATTTAATTTTGATAAAACATTAATTTCTTCTTTTAATTGACCATTTTCTGTTTTAAGTATTGATATTTCCATTTTAAGACTATTCATTTCCTTATCTTCAGGATTAAGTGTTTTTATACCTCTTGTTCTATTATTAAAGATTTTAGTTTTATCAGAGGTCGAAGGAATGCTTGCCTAAAAAAGTAATTACTTGCTTAAGCAATACTAAGAAAAACAGAAATGCGGTGCCTCCAATGATTTTTAAAAATATATAGCATTCTTATTTGGGTTGGCATAATTAAAATCAAATTAAATGTTGATTTGCATTTCATATCTGTTTGGAAAATTTATGAAACCACTACATGTTTAATGAAAAAGAAGAATATTCTTCTTATATTATATAGGTAATAATGTTTAAACTATAATATGTGACTTACTTCCATCCCTACATTAGTAAGATCCTGCAGAATGTTGGAATAGTTTTCATGCAATGCTGCTTTCTTTAAGTCTTTGCATTCTTTTTTGCTTTTGGTAATTATGGTCGACTCTTCTAATTCGTCACATGTAGACGATTCATCAAATAGGGTTTTAGGTATCCTGAATCTTTTTTCTTCTGCTTTCAATAAAGCATCAGCTTCAGTTTCTAAAAATTAAAGAAGGTATATATATATATATATATATTATAATTATTTGCATATTTAAATGTTAATGTTAAAAAAATTAAATAAAATAATTAATTGTAAGAATTTTTTTTAACTATTCTTTGTGTACAAAGAATTTAAAAATTATAAAAAATTATTGCCCTTTGCTGATTTTTATTGCCGTTTAATTATCTAATAATTTAATTAATTAATTAGGTTATGTAGTTTTCCTTTTGAAATTTTTTGGGTGATTTACAAAAGTTAACATGTATTTATAAATTAAAGACTTACCAGCAGTGCATATTAAATGTGCCCTATAGTATTTTTCATCAGTATACAGCACTTTGTAAGCATGGTCGAAGTCGATATTGTTTATATCAAATTTTTTTATTTTGTCCGCTGTGACAACCATTCTTACGCCATCGTCCCTAAATCTTACACATATAAACATTTTTTTAATATAATACACACTATTAACACTAGGCACTTAACACTGAAATCGACTAATAAAAAACACAGATTATAAAGGTAAAAAAAACCGCTAATAAATGGCCGGCGTAAAGACTTGTTGGCGTCTCAACCTCGTTGATTTTGCGCAGCTACACGAGAGCCCTCTTGCGATATTTATATTGTATTGGGAATAACCAATTAGCAGATTTTTCGAATCTTACACTGGGAATACCCAATTGCGATATTTGTATTGTATTGGGAATAACCAATTAGCAGATTTTTCGAATCTTACACTGGGAATGCCCAATTGAATTCAATTGGAAATTACCAATAGGTAGCTTTATCCAATCGAAACCAATAAAAACCATTAGAATCCTAACTGGTATTTCCCATCATGGAAAATACCAGTAAAAACCAATTTCTGTTTTATATCGCGCCCAATTAAATCCAGTAAGTCCAATTCAGACCCATTGAGACCAACCAATACTTCAATTGGTTTCTACAGGATTTAATCGGTCATTTACAACAGGGAAATACCATTTGATGACATTTTAGATGGAATTCGAGATTCAGTTTCAAATGAAGAACTTAAAAGGATTCATCTTGCCACCAAAAAAGATCTCTATAACATCGAACAATGCTTTAATTTATCTAGCACTGCAGTTAAACATACTAATGATGCAATCAGCGTAGAAGCGTTTGTAAATCAGATGCAGCAAGAGGGAGACTGTGTCTTGTTCTATAAACCTCAAGGCATTTTTATTGAAGAAAAACCTTATTTGAAAGAAAACGATTTTGTATTAATACTAATGAATAAAGCCCAAGCAGAACTTTTAAGGAAATATGGCCCTGACTGTATATGCTTGGATGGAACACATGGTATAAATGGTTACAATTTTGAACTAAATACTCTGTTGGTGCTTGATGATTTGAGGGAGGGCTTCCCTTCAGCTTTCATGTTCTCCAATAGATCAGATAGTGATGTATTTAAGTTATTTTTCTCTGAGATAAAAGCTAGGATTGGAATAATTACTCCAAAAGTTTTCATGTCTGATCTGGCAAATTCCTTTTACAATGCATGGGTTATTATTATGGGTATTCCACAAAAAAGGTAAGAAATGTATTTTATTAAGTTTGTAATTAGTAATTAATAATTACATCTTTTTATTACTATAAGTATTCCTTGTTTTAGACTATTTTGCACATGGCATATAGATCATGCATGGAGGAAAAATCTGTCATTGGTTAAAGGTAGAGAAAATCAAGTAAGTTTTTGTTTTGATTGACACATTTGTTTTATTGACATAATAATATGTTTCTAGGTTGGTATTTACAAGCAGTTAAGGGCACTGTTAGAAGAACGAGATAACAGTGCATTTGAGATAATGATTAAAAATTTTTGTGAACAGTCTGATCCAGAATTCGGGGATTTTATTAAATACTTTAAGGACAATTATTTTAATAACAAAGAACATTGGGCTTATTGTTACCGCCTCCATGCAGGTATCAACACAAATATGCATTTAGAAAGATTACATCGAACTATAAAATACACATATTTAAAAGGGAAAAAGGTGAAAAGGCTGGATAAAGGAATTGACGCCTTAATGAGATTGACCAGAAACCGGCTAATTGACAGACTTATCTCAATGAATAAGGGAAAAATTTCAGCCAAATTGAAAGATATACGTAAAAGGCACAAAAATTACAAAAGAGTAGAAAATGGTTGGGAACTTCCATCCAGTAACACTTACGAAATCTATTTAATTCAAGAACATCAGAGCTCATGTGATTGTGAGTTGATCTGTCCGGAATGTAATATCTGTATACACCGTTATCGATGTTCTTGCATTGATTCTGCAATAAAATTCAACATATGTAAACACATTCATCTGGTGGCACAAAATGTCTTAGAAAAAGAATCTGGATGCAGTAATGACGGTATGCAATTAATTTTCATAATAACTAATGTATTAAAGATAGTTTTTATTTTTCTTTTCTTTTACAAGCAGAATTCTAAATAGACCAACGCATTTATGGTGTTTTTAACACACAAGGTATTGTTTTTTAATTATTATTTTTTTAATAGTGTAGCAAAATTTACTAAAGGTGTTGGTGTAATAAGGTAGAAAGTGGATAGACCATATCGTGGGCATACTGCGAAAAATGACCAACTCATAGCAAAATTTCTTTAAAATTACCAATTTTTATTGAAATTAATCAATTTTGACTGCTTTATCCTATACATATTTTATAAGTTTAATATTACAGAACGATATAATAAGATGTGACTCGATCAATAGTTCCTGAAAAAAATCTTTATATATCCTTTGGTAAAAATAAGTAGAAATTAAGAAAATATAACTTGGTCAGTTTTCACAGTAAGCCCACGATATGTCTTTTCACAATATATCATACTGTAGTATGAATCTTAACATTTAACTATAATTATAATTACAACTATCTATAGCTATATATAGAATATTTATTAATTTAATACCGCCCCCTTAATACTACAACTCAATTTCCGTGATAAACAAAAATACCTTAACAAACAATAAAACATTTGTTGGTTAAGGCTTTTTTGTTTATCACGAAAGTTAAGTTATCCAGTTGTAGCATTATATTATAATGAAAAGAAAACGGTCATTTTGGCTGATTTCAGTAAAATTTTCATTTAGAGGTTTCCTTTATGTTACCCACATTACATTCATTCTTATTAGGTACTGCAATTTTATTAATTTAAACTAAATGTATATTCTAGCGGTAAACTCCACTGAAACTACAGATATTAATGAAAATGAAAACAAAAATGCAGAAGCTGCAGTGATTATAAAGCAGATTACCAGGAAAAGACCATCTAGCTCTTTTGAAGAGGACAAGGAGAGAACCAAACAAAAATTTTTAAAGTATTTTAATAATTTAGAGTCTCCATCCAAGTTAGAAATAATTAAAAAAGCTATAGCACCAATTTCGCCAATATTAGCAGCAGCAAGTCATGGAAACACAACAAACTGCCCTTAATCTTTTAAAGTAGGTAACAATAAATTAATATTAGTTCTAAATTCTAATGTTTTTAATACAATTAAAAAACATTAAAATAGCTTTTTTTGTTAAAATAAACAACTTTTAAAAGACAATTTGTTTTATTTCAAATACAATTTTAAAAACCTTTCTTCTACAAATAAGTTACAAACATTTTACCACATTTTATATTACAAGAATTTTGATATTTTAATAAAACAGAGTTGAAATTACACAATAAGTTAATTATAATATTTTATATTTATAGTATAAATATCTCAGACCAGACCTGAGATAAATATAATATGTTATATTTATAGTAAAAATATATTCTATAATTGACTTATTGTGTAATTTCAACTAAATTTCATATACTATTTATATTAACAATATTAATTCTTAAAAGTATCACAACGTTAAATGTTTTATTTTGGAGCAGTGGCAGCTGGTGGATTTTGGGTATACTGATATCTTAGTTATTAGACATGGGACCCACTCCAAACTTATATGAGTTTATAATGACATTAAATAGACAAGATCTGCACAAGCAGAATTTAAATTGAAGTTTGCGAAAAAAAGTTAGTATTTTAGCTGGCCGTACCAGCCCCCTGCCCCCCTATTTTAGATTATTCAAATTAAAGTGGTGCAAATCATAATTTACTAAAGTTTACCGATACGTTTTAAAATTTATTTAAAAAATCCAAGAATTAAAAATTTTGTACCATTTTAAAATTTTAACTAAAGGTTTAAGAAATTTAAAAACGTATAAAATCTGTAATTCTTGGATTTTTTAAATAAATTTTAAAACATATTGGTAAACTTTGGTGAATTATGAATTGCACCACTTTATTTTGAATAATCTTAAATAGGGGGGCAGGGGGCTGGTACGGCCAGCTAAAATACTCACTTTTTTTCGCAAACTTCAATTTAAATTCTGCTTGTGCAGATCTTGTCTATTCAATGTCATTATAAACTCTTATAAGTTTGGAATGGGTCCCATAGACATATGTCTAATAACTAAGATATCGGTATACCCAAAATCCACCAGCCGCCACTGTTTTGGAGGCATCTTGCTGTTGTCCCAGTGTTTTTTGTTCTTTTTTGAAAGCATTGCTTAGGCCACTACCTTCATTTGTCCAATATCATAATGTTCCTTGTTTAACACATTGATTGCTTTCTGGTTTCTGTGAAGCGCTGTGAAAGGCTTCGTTATTTTTTTGCTAAAATTCCCACACTAATTAGTCTGTTGTTTTGATGGAGTAACCTATATACATATATTAGCCATCTAAATGCAAAACTCTCCGTTTGCAATTTTTAATAGGAAAAACATATGTATCCATAGATGTATATTGTTGCAAGACTATATTTCTATGGATACATATGTTTTGTTCTTACTTATTAAAGAATGCAAATGGAGTTTTTCATCTAGACAACTCATATATAAAAATGTTGCTTAGTTGACATTTCAAAGTAATTATTAATACTTACGCTAGCTTTATCCTCTGTAGAAAATAGTTTTAAGCTTCATTTTAGGTGCATGCCTATCGAATTTAGGTGCTTCTTTAGGTGGGAAAGCTTTATAAACATCATACCAACTCAAAGCACCAGATTTATGATGTTCTACAATTAAAAAAACTATTATAAAGACGTAAAAGTAGTATTTTTTATACGAAACTTTTGTAAACTGTGCTTATTTTCTCTAAACGGCTAATTATGTATTTTGACAACTAAAAATAGGGTTAGAAACAAAAAAGACATTTCAAAGTAATTATTAATACTTACGCTAGCTTTATCCTCTGTAGAAAATCGTTTTAAGCTTCATTTTAGGTGCATGCCTATCGAATTTAGGTGCTTCTTTAGGTGGGAAAGCTTTATAAACATCATACCAACTCAAAGCACCAGATTTATGATGTTCTACAATTAAAAAAACTATTATAAAGACGTAAAAGTAGTATTTTTTATACGAACCTTTTGTAAACTGTGCTTATTTTCTCTAAACGGCTAATTATGTATTTTGACAACTAAAAGTAGGGTTAGAAACAAAAAAGAGAAAGAGTACCAACATATTCCACCAGAAAAGTTTCTAGAACGGCTGGGATAGTTTGTTACGGTAGCGGCTAGACGTTAGTCTTAAAAACTAAATGTTACCAAAAATCGTTTAAGAATGAGCTTCATTCTTCAACGATTTTGCGTGCGAGAATATGACATTCTTACATAAAAATCTAGAAAAAATATTTTTGCAATGTGTTTTTACCTCTAGATTACATTAAAAAGGTTTTTAGGGATTTTAATTTTTGATGCAATTACTCTATTGTAACATAATTTTTTCTAAAAAGAAAGCTTGAAAATTATATGTAACATATTCGATAATTGTAACATAATTTTTAATCCAAGTATCTGGACAAAATTAACTTAATTCTATCCAGATTAATTAATTTATTTAAGCATAATGCATGATTTATAGATTTCCTTCCTTCCTCCCGTAAAAGATCAACAATACCGTAGTGCTGTTTATAGATTCCCGTACGGTATTTATAGTTCTAAATGTAACGGTAGAGGCAGCGGTAGAGGTAGCCAAGTTGGGCATTGAATATTATATGAAAAAAATTAGTTGTCAGAGGTAAGGGAAGTAGAGGCAAGAACGTAGCCGCAAGAGATGAGCATCTTTCATCTTTTCTTACCTCAATCGCTACTCCAGCCAATCACACGGCAGTTTTTAGTTGGCAGCCTCGCCTTGTAAGTTTAGTGTTTATGCGAGGGGCCACCATTACCGCTACCGCTACTTTCTGAACTATAAATCCAGCTTTATACAATTTTTAACAAATTTTATAATTTTCTAAAAATTCGATAATATTTTCAACCCTGTTTCTTTCACTTTTTTATGATTAAATTATAATAATTATTGTAACATAATTATTACAATTATTGTAACATAATTTTCCGAAAATTCGATAATTTTATTAACCCAATTTGATAATTTCAACTTTTAAATCTGGCTAAATCGGCTAGGCGTTGACTCCATAAGATGTGCCTTAATTCATGGCTTATGAATTCCGATTTAAAAATGTGTTAAATTTAAAATCTAGTTTGCAATTTTAGTTTCAACAGGATTATCATTTATTATTTTTAATTTACATTTTTGTGAATTGTTCTAGCAAACAATGTGTTCAATAAATTAAAATATGTTATGTTATGATATATTTTTTACAAATAAATACGTTTTAGTGTTTTTATTATTAGTCAAGATATTTTAAGATTTCTTGACAAGAAATCTTGGTATTGACATACAATTTCTTGTCCTGTCTTGAAATTTACTTCTTGTCTTGATCTTGTCTTGAAATCAAGACAAGATCAAGACAAGATCTTGAAATTTTCAAGAACATGGCGACCCCTAGTTATGCCCTGTAAGGTAATTTTTAAATCGATTTTAAGCGGAAACGATGCATGATATCAAAGTTTAACAAGAGAACCTTTTTTGTGTGTAAAACTCCGAAATTTCATAATCTGACATCAAATCGTAGCACAAGATACGTAAAAAAAAGTTAGTGTAGTTTTACCCCTAATCCCTATCTATCTGACCCACCCCTCATGAAAATTTTAAAATTTTTATTATTACATCTTAAAAAAATTGATCAATTCCCAAAATTTCACTTTTCTATCCTACGGTTTTGGAGATATTAAATAAAAACGATCTCTTTTGGGAGCTGTAGCTCCCTTAGAAAGCATTTCTCGACCTATATAAACTTTTTTCTTATTTTTGTACGTAGAATCTGCTGTTGAAGTATTGCACGCTAATTATGGGACATCCTGTAGATTGTAGATATGAACATAAAGATACCCATTTCACCAATAACCGAATTTTCCCAAAAGGTGGAGATTGCTAGTTTTGCTTCTATACCCGTCATTTTAAGCATTCCCAAAAATATATTTTTTGAAGGGCAACGTGTGTATTATAAACTAATATGGAAACAATTTAAAAAAGGCAGCTGAGGTTGGCGTTAGTACGCCATTTTTGTAAAAAGACAACAAATGGCTGACTGAAGATAAAAGAATAATTAAGGTCAGTAAATAAAATATAACAGTATACTCATACAGCAATACGTTTTAATAAAAAATTACACAAAATATTATTCACTTTTAAGTATCATCTAAAAAAGTATATATAGGTACATTTTAATATAGAATTACAAAATATTTACTTTTTGAGTATTATCTAATTTGACGGCTTCATGTTGAGCTAAATGGAGTAAAGCTTGACTACTTTCCAGTATCTAAAATAAATTATTAACATTATTTTTTTTTTAAATAGAATTATGTTTATTTATTTTTTATTTTATTTTATTTTTTTAATATAGTCTGCGGATGCGACGCTCTAGCCAATTGGCTATTAATAGCAGACTAAGACAACTCGGGGATAGGTATTTGAAACTGGAGCAAGCCTTCTAAGGTAAGGCAGGGCTCCACCAAAAGGGTGTTTGCACAATGTGCAGTGTGCTGCCTGCAGCTCTTTAAATCAATCAATCAATACAAAAACCTTATATGATATAAATTAAGTGGTGATAGATTTTTAATAATAGAGGACAAAAATATTGTAGGTAATTGTAGTTTAATTTAGTAAGGTCAAGTCGCTCTAAGTCGATTTATCATCTGAAATGTTAAAGTTTTTGAGTTTAATTTAGAGGGTTGATTATGTAAAAGTAATTAAAATTTGTTCAAGTTACATATTTGAATTACATAGTTAAGCTAGAGAAAAATTTGATTCAAGCAAAGAAAGGCTGACCATGTGAAAGCTGGTTACCTAAGCGGGCTTGGTCAGTGCCTGAGGACATTTACTAGTTTTTTTTATGAGGCTCCTAGAAACCAACTTGTCCCCTTTACTATTCTCCAGTGCCTAAGCACAATTTTCCGCGCGCAAAATTGGGCATTTATTTAATTTGATTACGTTTACAAGTACTATGTGAAAACTGATATATCAGTGCACTCTATAGAGATTACAAGTAACTTAGGCGGGCTTGATCAGTGCCTGAGCACATGTACTCGCACCTTTTTGTTGCGCGGCCACATTAAAAACTTTATACTGCACCCTCTATAGACCTAACTTCTTCCGGGACAGCAATAAATGATAATGTACCTTTACATCAATGCATGTTATGTGTTATGTTACATCGTTTTTTTAATTATTAGCAATTAATTAATGTTTAAGGTATTATAAACATTTAAATTTTTATATTTAATAATCAACCAAAAACTCATGAAAATTGCTTTGGGACACGTACCGGCGTTACATTTTTAAACAAATTATAAATAAAAATGATATTTTATGTAGTAGATTTCATTTTTGATGTAAAAAATAAAGGAAACCTTTACTTTTTTTGATAAAACATAAGAAAATGCATTTTTTTTTACTGTCAAGGACTAGAAATAGGAAGGAAGAGATTTTGGCCCATACGGTATGGGCCATACCTATAACTTTTCAATACCATCAACAGGCATTCATTCATCACAACGTTGAATAAAGCCTATACTTCCCATAAGGGTTCAAATCTTTAATTCACTGTAAAGTGCTTTGAATTCGGTCAAAATTTGTTTGTTTGCTGTGCCACTTGTTGTCTTCTTTATTATTAATTAGTAATTAATAAAACTATTTACCTTTTTAAATCCATGTTCAGTATCTCTTATTGTCCTTTCATAATTATCACATAAACTTTTATGATGTTGAAGATTGTTATTTACCAACGTTAGCTTTTCTTGAAGTCCCTTAATATTTTTTTCTAATAACTTCTTTTCATTTTCTTCCCTTTCAATTAGAATCAATACATCTTTCTTTTTTATTTTTAATTCTTCCAAACCTAAATTTGAATTGCAATTGCTTACCAAAATGGTAAAAAATAGTTTAGAAAATAACTTACACTTTACTAATTCTTGGTTATATGTTTGCAAAGCAGCACCATGTTCTGACATATTTTTTGTCATTTGTATAAAGTAATATTCATAATTTCCTAAATTAATATTTTATGTAGGAATACAATACAAACTTAAAACATAACCTACAAATATAAAATATAAGAAAATATTTATGATACCACCCTGGTGAAAATAAATATCTTTGCAATGGCCGACAAAAGATAAAAGATATTTTGCCAAAATATTTTTAAAAACATTTCAAATGAGATATTTAAAAGATATTATTTAGATATCTTTTCCCAAATATCTGTACCGTTATATCAAGGGAACATGTAAAAGATAATTTTTGGTAGATAAGACGCACCTGATAAATTCTGAATATTTTTTGACCGATAGTGGAAAGATGTTTTTTTATTATCTTTTTGTTCACATCTTTACTCATATAGGTACCTATTTGAGAAACATGTAAAAGATTATTTTTACCAGACAAGTCACATTTTATCGGGACCTTAATTCATATTATCAAAGACAACGGATGAATATCTTTTTAAAGACAAACTACGAATATCTTATATCAGATATTAAAAATATGTATATAATTTATTTTTTTTAAGATAAATTGTGTACATCTTGCTTGAGACATTTAGAAAATGTGCCATCAATGTCATAACAAGAGATATTTATATTAAGCAGATATCTATAGATATATATATTAAAGCGTGCACCGCAATTTTCTGTCGTACAGAATTTTGTTTATGTGTTTGTGTTTCTTATATTTTTATTAATTGTTTAAATGGAGAGAAAAAAGCTTCTCGGTCGAAAGCGTTTTTCCAAATTTCGAACTTTAAATCGTGCAAGAGTTGATGCAGATTTGTTGAGAGAAGATATCTTGCGAGAAACGTTTCCTTTTTCTATGCGTTTCAACGTTATGTTGTTCATCGCCCAGGTATGTGAATATTCTCATGAGAATACCCTGTTAAAAATCACCCATAGAGACCAATAGAAACCAATAAAAAATCAGAATGGAATGAATTGGTCTCTATTGGGCCTATTGGTTTCTCAACAGAATGAGCATTGGTTTCTATTGGTAATTTCCGTACTGGAAAATGCCAATAGATTACCTTATGGTCTGAATTGGTTTTTATAAGAAGTTACAAGTACAGGAAATTCCCAATTGAAATTCAATTGGTAAATACCACTTAAATGTTCAGCGCCGCGCAATTTAATATATTATATACAAATGACCACTTGTTTCTATTGGCAATTTTCTTACTGGAAAATACCAATAGATAAACTAATGGTCTGAATTGGTATTTTATCGGTGTGTAGGTACAAGGAACCCTATTGGTATATACCACTTTAATATTTATTTTCAAAATTCGCCAATAGGTAGGCAACCCATGCATACCTCTCGCCTCTGTAGCACAATACATAGGCCTATAAAGGTGGAATGCCTTGAGCTGCTAAGTAAGGATTCCTTACTAAGGCAAAATTACTGGCCATGGAAACGCCTGGCGTTTTGGAATTTTTAAAGGGGCACAGGTCGTCCTGTGGCCCACTCTGCGAAAAGTAAGCAGTGGGCCCCACTACTTACTTTTAGCAGAAGCTATTTATAAAATTTATAATTAAATGTTAAACAGCACTATTTTTGAGAAATTATTTATCCATCAAAACACGTAATTTTTTACCTTAAAGACGTCTAAAATGGATAGTGAGGACCAATTCAAACCAATAGCGGTACCTCTGGAAAATCCAAATAGCTCTATTGGGAATTATTATTGGTATACCAATAAAATATATCTATAATATATCTATTGGGAATTACCAATAAAATACGATTAGTCTCTATCGGTCTGTATTGGGATTTTCCAGCGGTGTCGCTATTGGTTTGAATTGGTAATTCATGGTACAGATACCACTATTGAGACCAATTCAAACCAATAGAGCTGCCGCTGGAAAATCCCAATAGCTTTTCTATTGGTCTTTATGGGTGATTTTTAACAGGGTATTCACATACCTGGGCGATGAACAACATAACGTTATGCATAACATTATTTTAACCTAATAATAACACTGTTATTATAATAATTATTAGGTTAAAATAATGTTATGAGAATATTCACATACCTGCAGGCCCATGGGCGATGAACAACATAACGTTGAAACGCATAATGTCTTAAAAGTTCCAGCTGAACCTAGCATATGCTGATATCAGCTGATGTTTGTGCACATCCTGTCAATAGGGAGCAGCGCATTAACAATGTAAATAATCGCCATAAGAAACAAAACCCTCACGAACAAATCCCCGACTTATGGTATATACCGAATAATGGGCATGGAGAAGACTTGGAATACTTTGGAAGTGAAGCTGGCACGAATTGTAATTTTTTATAATGTACCTAAACATATCGTTTTTCATGAAAACAAAAATTTTCCAGTTAAAATCCAAGAGCACGGGAGGAACAGCGATAAAAACGAGGGGGGTCAGGTCGAACATGTAGAAAACGTGGACGACGACGAAGAGGGGGGCGAAGGCAGAGAAAACACGGAAAACGAGGATAAAAATGACGCGGTTTTTTAAATATCTTTTGTAAATATCTTTCAAATATCTTCTTGAATATGTTTTTTTAATATCTTTCCGTAAATACCTTTTCAATATCATTCTGAATGTATCTTTTTAATATCTTTTCGTTGACATTTTGATTATATCTTTTTAGTAATGTTTAGTCTATATCTGTACATTTACATCTAAGTGATATATTCTTTTATATATCTTATTAATATCTTGTAAAGTTTAATTATTAGATATATTTTAGAGGTTATCTAACAAATTTCTCTTTAAAGATATTTAGCTGATATCTCTTTACATATGTTTAGTACATATTATAAGAGCGTTACAAAAATATGTCGACCTAATATCTTTCTGAAGATTATCTTCAGATAAATAAAAGATATTAACTAAACTACAATCCACACAATTGGATTGTGAACTAAACATTTTGTAGACCTTTTTTTCCACCAGGGCATGTTTCCTTATATCATATACCAAATTTCGTCCGCCACGCGCATGTAGGTTCTTTGCCTACCACCACTAACACAAACCTTTTTGCTTCCTGTTGCTACATTCTTATAATAGGGGTTCCATAATAATAAAAATACATTATTATAAATACATTTATATAATTGAGTAACAATAATTGTGAATAATAATACATTGGATTCATCAGTACAAATAATAGGACTGGTAACTACTAGTAAACAGTGAGATATTGTTTAACTTAAATACAAGCTTATCATGACACACAAATATAATACAAGATTTTTTAATTTACTTATAAAATTTATATAATTTATAACATTTACCTGTTACTTTTTAGTTTGTTCTAAATGGTTATTAAAAAATCTTGTTTAAAGTTATCACATCTTTAAAATTTAAATAAATGTTAGTTTATAATCTCTTCATGATTAAAGAATTAAAAAAAATTTTTTTTCTTAATACCTACTAACATTTTATATTTTTCTTAAATATGTTGCCCTATTTTTACTGTAGTTTTTGGATAACATTACATTCTTAAATAATAAACATTGACCTATTATTATAATTATGTATTGTGATAAGCCTTAAGGGAGCTTTAGAGGCCTATTCCCTTTCTTGCTGTTCGTAAACATCGATTTCTTAACATGTATGTTCACCCAACGACAAGCCCAACATCACCTATGTTTAAGGTTATTCCGTTTCTCATATGTTGAGAGTCTTGACCTTGAATCTTTCTGAACAGCGATAAATGTTTTTAGGACAGGGAGTTTCTTAGTTTTATAACCTAAAAGTCGCAGATCGTAAACTAAAATTGTGTTAGATAATTGTTTTAAAAATCATTGGTGATATTTAATATATTAAATGAACTTAAAACAATTTGGGAAAATCCACAAATTCTAATACTTGGGAAAAACGTTTTATGCTGAACTAGCCAAAGCACAGATCTTCTGGCGGGGCCATTAAGTCCATCCTTATATGGAAAAGGGTAATCATAAAATATCTTAAAATAATTATTTGTTACTTATTTTTACACACTTTTAGTGTATTGAAAATGGCAAGAAAACTACGCATTTCTCACATGGAGACTGGCAATGTCGGGGAGCCAGTAAAACAACTTAATTACTTTAAGGATAAATTACTACCCGTAATAGAGGAAGCGCTGTGAAAGTTAGTGGTGGAGGGTAAGGTGGAGGTAATACCATTGTTGGAACTCTTCATTGACCAGCCTTTAAGGTCGGGTGGAAGGGTGCCTTCTACAACAGAGAGGCATAAAGAGAAAGTCAAACTCAAACTCTGACGAGTAGTGAAGGTGTAGAGGTTTTACAAGGTATTGATAAAACCTATAAGATTTTAAAATTAAACCAAAAAGTTTTAGCTCCCATGTGAAGAAAAAGTGTTTTTAGATGCATATTTTTTGTATTTTATTAGTTAAACTTTTCTTTGACTAATATTTTGTCTATATTTTTGAGTAATAATATTACATAGGTATTTGAAATTTTATATTTGTTGTATTTTTTTAATAAAATATATTTTTCCAAGTTATTTTTTATTCTACCAATAAGTATATATATATATAGTTTTAGAGGTCGTTTTTAGACACTCTTGTAACATACATATAAGTCTTGACTTTCCTCCTCCACATTCTCTCTTCACACTCAGTTTTTTTTTAATTTTCTGTTTTTCTCAAAATAAATATTTATTATTATAATAAAATTATATTAAAAAAATCAGTAAAGCAAAATTTGTATTCTGGTAGGTATTATAATTAGTAAATACTTACATTTTAATAATTAAAAAACAAATCAAACATATTTTTAAAATTAAGTACCAAAAAATATATTATTATTTGTTTGGTGTAAAACCTTATATGATTTGTCCTATTCTTAATTATAAATAATTATTTATCATTTATAATTATAATTAATTAGGTATTAATTATGAAAAAGTAATTAATTTATAATTACTATGCTTGATAATGATACTAGTATCAGCTGTACTGTATACTGTGCCAAACATCGCCGCAATTTATGATTAATGCAAGATAAAAAACCTTAACAGCACCTCTTAGGCAAGCGTTCGTAAACATACGTTTTCAAACATCATGTATGTTCACCAAACATCGAATTTTG